GTGGACAGTGGGGGACCCCTGGGGACATCCAGGTGCCACCAAGGTCCCCCCCACCCCCCGGTGTCCCCTGGGTGAAGGGACCAGTGGCTCTGGGGTGCCCAGCTCTGATCCCAGGGGTGCTGATCCCGGGGTCCCAACCCCGGTCCTTGGGTCCCACCCTGCTGGGGGTCCCGTCCCCAGTCCCAGGGTCCCGTCCCCAATCCTGGGGTGTCCATCCCAGATCTGGGGTCCCATCCCTGATCCCAGGGTCCCATCCCCAATCCTGAGGCCCCCGCCTTATCCCAGGGTCCTGTCCCCCATCCCAGGGTCCCATCCCCGATCCCAGGTTCTGGTCCCCAATCCCAGGTTCCCATCCCCCATCCCAGGGTCCTGTCCCCAATCCCAGGTGCCCTTCCCCAATCCTGGGGTGCCCATCCTGGGTCCAGGGGTGCCCATCCCTGTCCCTGGGGTCCTGTCTTTATCCCGGGATGCTGATCCCAGATCCCGGGGGTTCCCATCCCCGATCCCAGGGTGCTGATCCCCGATCCTGGGGTTCCCATCCCCAATCCTGGGATGCCCAGCCCTGATCTGGGGGTGCCCATACCCAGTCCCGAGGTTCCCCCCCTTATCCCAGGGTCCCATTCCCGATCTTGGGGTCCCCCCCCAGTCCTGGGGTGTCCATCCTGGATCTGGGGTCCCATTCCTGATCCTAGGGTGTCCCCCCCCCAATCCCGAGGTCCTCCCCTTATCCCAGGATCCCATCCCTGATCCCAGGATCACATCCCTTATCCCATGGTCCCATTCCTGATCCTGGGGTTCCCCCCCAAGTCCTGGGGTGTCCATCCCGGATTTGGGGTCCCATCCCTGATCCCAGGGTCCCATCCCCAATCCCGAGGACCCCCCTTATCCCAGGGTCCCGTCCCCCATCCCAGGGTCCTGTCCCCAATCCCGGGTTCCCATCCCCCATCCCAGGATCCCATCCCCAATCCCAGGGTCCGACCCCCAATCCCCGGGTCCCCCCCAATCCCGGGGTGTCCATCCCTGACCCGGGGTCCCCCCGCCCGGGGGTCCGCAGGGATGATCCAGGCGCTGGGCGGGTTCTTCACGTACTTCGTGATCCTGGCGGAGAACGGGTTCCTGCCGGGAACGCTGCTGGGGATCCGCCTGGCCTGGGACGACCGCTCCACCAACGACCTGGAGGACTCCTACGGGCAGGAGTGGGTGCGTGGCCTCGCACGCCTTGCACGCTCCTCGCACGCCCCTCGCACGCCCTTGCACACTCATCGCACGCCCCTCACACGCCTTGCACGGCCCTCCCACGCCCCTTGCACGCCCTTGCACACTCATTGCATGTCCCTTGCACGCCCCTTGCATGCCTTCACACGCCTTGCACGCCCCTTGCATGCCCCTTGCACATCTTGCACACTCATCGCACGCCCCTCACACGCCTTGCACGGCCTTTGCATGCCCCTCGCACAACCCTTGCACACTCATTGCATGTCCCTTGCACACCCCTTGCGTGCCTTCACATGCCTTGCACACCCCTCGCACGCCTCTTGCATGTCTTGCACACTCATTGCATGCCCTCGCACGCTTTGCATACTCATTGCACACCCTCGCATGTCCCTCGCACGCCTTCACATGCCATGCACACTCGTCACATGGCCTCGCACACCTTGCACACTCATTGCATGCTTCTCACACCTTTGCATGCCTTGCACACTCACTGCACGCCCCTTGCACACCATGCACACTCATCGCACATCCTCGCACGTCTTGCACACTCATTGCATGCCCCTCACGCCCTTGCACATTCATCACACACTCTCACACACCCCTTGCACACCTTCGCACACCTTGCACACTCATTGCACGCCCCTCGCACACCTCTCACACACCTTGCACACCCCGTGCACACCCATCATACACCCTTGCACATCTTGCACACCTCACATGGCCCTTGCACACCCTTCGCACAGCCCTTGCACACCTTCGTGTGCCCCTTGCACACCCCTCACGCCCTTGTGCACCCCTTGCATGCTCTTTCACACCCTTGCACGCCCCTCACACACCCTCAGACACTCCTCGCACACCTCGCACGGCCTTGCACATCCTTTGCAGCCCTCACATGCCCTGTGCACGCCCCTGCACACCCCTTGCATGCCCTTGCACACCCTTGCACGCCCCTCACACACCCTTGGACACTTCTCATACGCCTTGCACAGGCTCACACGTCCTTGCACACCCCTCACATACCCTTGCACACCCGTCTCATGCCCTCACACACCCCTTGCACACCCACTTGTGCCAATGCCCTGCTCCACCTGTGCTTGCACACGCATGCTCTTGCCTGCCTGTGGCTGTGAGCGTGCAAATACAGCCTCCAGCTCGTGCAAAAGCCTTGCACAAGTGTGCATATGCACGTATGAGCATGTGCACACACACGTGTGTTTGCACGTGCCCTCACAGCCCCATCCCTGTGCACGCCCATTTGTGCACTCACCTTTGCACGGCTGCGCTCATGTGCGTGTGCTCCCCTGTGCCTTTGCACACCCGCGCTCGTGCAAACCCCTCGCACACCCACACCTTGTGCCTTTGCACACCCACGCTTGTGCAAACCCCTCGTACACCCACACCTCGTGCCTTTGCACACCCATGCTCGTGCAAACCCCTCGCACACCTGCACCTCGTGCCTTTGCACACCCCGCCCTGCATCCATCCCTCCGCGCATCCCCTTGCCCGCTCGCCCCTCCGGTGCCCCCCATGCGTGGGTGGGTGTGT